CCTCTCTCCGGCAGAAGGAGACAAGCATGAAAATGTGAGGCATGTTTTCCGTGTGCTGATCTCCTTTTGAGCCTTCAGGCTGTCTGTCTCTTCGCCATGTATCTCTGCAGGAAGCCGTCAGAAACGCCAGGCATGTTTTTTTCCAGCAGCAGTCACCGTGTTGCCGAGCTGACAGAAGTATTAAAAAAAGCAGTAGGGGGTGACATTAGCTGTCCTGCGCTCACTTAGTGCGCTGCAGTCCTGCCTTGTAAATGGCTGCCTCATGAGCTGTTTGCACTTTAAGCGGGCAACTGGAACCATCTTACCTACTGCACTGCACAGAAAAGTCATTGTGATGCTTTGGCAGATAGTAGATTGATTTCTGTAACACAGGAATAGCCCTTCTCTGGAAAGTGGTCCTTGTTTTATAATGTCACCCAGTGCTATTTTTTTGCATTACCATTAAACAGGCACCTTTGTACATATTCAGATATGTGAGATGGCTTTTTGCAGAAGTAGCAGATCAAATGCTCTTGACATTGTCTGTTGGTTCAGAGTCTGTTCCTCAGCAAGTTAAATCAGGAGAATATGGGTGCAGGTGGGGTATTGTTATGGTAATATCATCTAGTCTTCTGTTTTATCTTACTTCAAAAATAGAATAGAAAACATTTCTAGGCATTCATGTGAAAATAATTTAAGTATTTAAACAAGATAAGTTTACCACTTGGACTGTGAGAGAAAGGGACTATAAAGGAGAAAACAAATGGATATAATTTGAGTATAGGCTAAAGGAAGCTACTGAGAGTGGTTAGTCCCTGGGAGAGTGAAGACTAATCATATGAGGGAGCAGTCATGTTCTGTGTGTTTAAACAGCACCCAGACCATGCAAAGTTCAGCCTTTAGATGTGTCCTTTTTTGTAGCTTTTTTAATGCAATAAACTATCTACAGAGGAATGCATTTCCCAGATTTCAAGGTCAAACACTCTGAATTTGGAAATCCCAGAAATCAAGAAATTAATGCCAGATCTGTGCAATTACAGCCCTTAATGACATAATCACTTGCTGATTTTACCATAAGACTATCCCTTCTCCTTTACCAGTACATAGAGAGGAAGGATTTCCAAATCCATGCCTTCAAAGCAGTATTTAGTTGTATTGACCGTAAGTCTGTCTCTTCCAGCCAGGATCCTTGTAATACATGTAACTGCACCTTCTGTGTTCTGCAGCTAGCAGGAATGCTATAGACTCCAGTCATCTTCCTTACACAGTGCTAATTTATCACTAGGATATGTTCATCCTCAGCAGGCTCTATGAAAAAAATAGCATTTAAACCTGTAGTTACATGGTAACATAATGCATATACAGAGGGGCTGAATTCAGGCTGACTTTTGAGGATGTGACTTTGCAATCATAATAATAGTTTCTTACATTTTGCGTGACATTGCCAAAGCTTGAAAATGTAAGCCTCTATTAGACCTCCCAAAAATAGCAGGCCAAGGGCAGAACTGCTGAAAGTTGCAGGTATCGCATTGACATCTGCTGGAGAAAGCACCTTCAGAGCCTATCAGGCTTTTATAATGACCTCTGCCAAAGTGTCAGCTGGAGGGGACAGGAGGAGTATGTTATGATTCCGGATATGGGCCTGTCCTGTAGAGGGAGGAGGTTGCAAAGGAATCACAAATCTCCTCCACCATGTGTCCCAGACCTGCATTTGGAAGGGAGAGTGTGTTGTGGTGCACACAGTTTCTTTCCTGATTGTTTGAAGTTTGGCTTCAGCTGTTTTGCCCCTCTCAGCTGCCCCTGCTTTCCTGTTATGTATGAGCTATCTGTCCCATTCTCCTCACCTATATAGTGCAACCTCCAGTTCTCAGGGTTCTTGATCTCACCCTATTTCCCTTGCCCAGAGAGTCCTAGTCTCTTCTCTGCACTCACCCTGCCTTAGATGTAGTGTCATTTCCAGTTATATGAAGCTCCTTGCTGTTCTTCCCGTGTTTCTTTCTATACTCTGCACCAGTTTCCCCTAGTTCCCACAAGTTTTCAGTGATCTGCTAGAGTGAGATCTAAAAGCCAAAAACCTTGTATGCAGTGCTGGTAAAATGCAAGATACAGAGGGCCATTGTTGTGTTTTGGCTCTCTGGAGGTACATAAAGAAGTAAGTGGGCGTTCAGAGGAGTTGTAGATGTTTGTGGCTTGCCCATGCACTGAGAGTCTGGGCACAAGGGATTGGAGGGTCAGGGCAGTTGTTTGCAGACTAAAGGAGAATGGTGGGCTCATAGCTGAGATTTTGTTGCTTCACCTCCTCCCTTACAGATGGCCCCAGCAGGGACCACTTGTGAAAGCTGGGCAAAAGGACTGGTCTTGGTCTGCTTGGGAAAAATGTGACTTTGAACTCAAAGCCGGGAAATGAGTCACCTCATTGCTGAATGTTTGGAACTGGTGCTGTAATTCCAGTAAAGTAGTATCTATGTGCATATGCCCAAAGCGCAAGATCTTTTTTTTCCTGCACACAGAAGTCAATGTGTGTAATTCACTAGATGAATATATCAGACTGGAGGTGCAGATTTACAGGTGTTGCTGTCAGGGCTGTCCTCTCAGGAGTTACTGAACTGTAATGCTTTGGCTCCTTGGTTACACATTTTGCTGAGGCTCCATTAAGGTTATAGTGTGTACAGGTGAAGATTATATTTTGCATGTGTATTCAGTATACTAAGACTGTGCATACCATAGGCACGGAAGGAGAGATTACATGCGCTGTGGGTGACGTTACACAACACGTGCTGCTGCAGAGTTGTGCAAGAGAAATGCAAATAGGAACCTGTCCTGACCTAATCTATCAACTTGCCTACCAAAAGCCAGAGCCAACCCTTTAAATAATCCTGGCTTACCAGCAGAGACAGGGAGATTGAGTTCCTATATCTGCAACCTGAGCCCCCAACTGCAAGATTGCCTCCCTGATCTTTAAAAGCCTAAAGTAGTCCTGCCAGGTTGTTAATGTGTGGTTAGCATGTAATAGATGAAGAAAGTGTTGGAAGGCGTGGGGAGTTATTTTGGTGTAGAAATTCTGAATTTTGGAGAAAAGTGAACCTCTCTTTGCCAGCAAGTCATTTGAGATGGTAAGAAATCCAAGCAGCTGGGGTAATGAATCTGAAGTTAACAAGAGGGCACAGCCTAGCAGAAGTCTGGGCACAGTGCCTTTCCTTGAAGGAGGGACTGGAGAGAGCACAGGAGAGGCCAAGGACAATAATAGAAGGGACTAGCATAAATCAGTTAGAGGGACTGGGATCCATGGTTGGGAGAAAAGAGTTGCTTAAAGAGCAGGCTCAGTTGAAAGGGGGAGCAGCTGTAATGTTCAGAATCTAGGACCAGAAGAATGGCGCAGAGCTCTGCATCCACTTGGTGGAGCCAGTGTTTTTAGGGGCATTGCACATACCTCACAGATATACAAGACACCAAGGCAGCCTGTTTTCATGGGAGCACTGTTACATTTCATCCCAGTACAAGGATGCAGCAGTAAAGAACTTTACATGTGCTGAAGTGCAGTGGGAACAGGGACTAGCTGTTGTGGTCAAAGCAGAGGATTAGGAAGCCAGGTCCTTGGCACAAGCCATTTCCCTTTTCTGTGCCTCAGTTTCTCCTCTTCCCTCCCTGCTGCAGGAGCAGAGATTGTAATGGCTACCTCACTGCAGGAAGGAGAGCTGAAACTCCTCCTGTGTTCAGATGGGAGTGCCTGAAGAAGGACAAGGTGTTGCAGATGATTACTCTGACTTACC